CTGTATTTTTGTTTGTTTAGCTACAAAGGCTATCCATTTAGAAATTGCTAACGACTTATCAAGTGAAGCATTCCTAGCTGCTCTAAAACGATTTGCTTCGAGGAGAGGAAAAGCTCAAGAAATAAGAAGTGATTGTGGAACTAATTTTATAGGTTCAAATAAAATCCTCAAGGAAGCAGTTTCATCTGTCCAGTCAACCTCAGAATTTCAAAGGTGGTTAGCAAATGAAAACATAAGGTGGAAATTCAACCCGCTAGCTGCTCCACATCATGGTAGTATATGGGAGGCAGCTGTTAGATCTATGAAGCTGCATCTAAAGAAATGTGTTGGAACTCAAATTTTGACTTATGAAAAGTTTTTAACTCTAATTGCACAAATTGAAGCATGCTTAAATTCGAGGCCAATAACACCGGTTTCCAGTGATCCCAATGATTTGACAGCTTTGACTCCTGGACACTTTATTATAGGGACTTCTTTAACAGCTGTTCCGGTGCAAGATTTAACCGAAGTACGAGTGTCTCCATTGCAAAGATGGCAACTAACACAGCAGATGTTCCAAGGGTTTTAGAAGCGGTGGTCTAAAGAGTACCTGTGCCAACTACAGCAGCGTAGCAAATGGAGACAGCCTAGCAGAAATATTCGTCTAAGTGACTTGGTTCTCATTAAAGAAGATAATATGCCTTCATTACATTGTAAACTTGGGCGAGTAATAGAAGTGTTTCCTGGAAGAGACAATAATGTCCGAGTGGTTAGACTAAAAACTGTGCACGGGGACATTAAACGTCCTATTATCAAACTGTGTCTTTTACCAGTTGAAGAACATTAACTTAAGTGTTTGTTTTATACTGAATATGTTTTATTATTATTTTCATTTCTTATTGTACTAACAATTTTATTTGTTTGTTTTAGTTTAACCCTTATAGTTAACCTTTCAATATAATAAGCTAGAAGATTGGTAAGTGTAACATGTAATTTTATACTTTTTTGAAGGTTTTTGTATGTTTTCAGTTTCTATATTTTTCATTTACTTGTTTGCATATATTGAAGATTGTATTAAGATGAATGTAATTCATCGTGGGGGGGAGGATGTTTTGGCCTCCACGGTGATTGCGGTGATTTGTGCCCAGATGGCGCACCGCACAAAGAGTTAGTTGCATTACAGAATGTAAGGGAAGCGGACACGCCAAAATGTCGGGCGTATTACCGCTAATTGAGGTAATTGCATCGTATTCACATGCCAGGTGGCAGAATATGTCTATCATGTACATGCCAGGAGGCATAACGCTTGTAAATATGCCAGGTGGCATACAACTTGTAAATAAATTGTAAATAAATGTACAGTAAAATATCTTGGTGCAATAGATCAAGGAACACGCATCAACAACCTTCTGATCATTTGGATACGTACAATAACTAAGCAAAGAAGTTAAATCAGGTTTAAAATAAAGATACTCCTTTCAATATTGGGCAATTCTTATTTTGATCTAAAATAATCCACAGAAGACAACAAATTTTAAAAATATCCTAAATAAATTATGGTCCCATTTTCTTCATTGTTAATAACCTTATAACTTTTTACATTTATGCATTTGCATCAAACTAAAAACTGATCTATGGAAATAATTTATTTGTATTATACCTAACAGCATTTCTGATCTAGTCTGAATTCTTTCTATTATTCAGTCCTAGGATACAGCAATGTGCTTGGTTCATCGGTTCATAAAAGCAATTTTACATGAAGTAGCAGGTTTAAAAAAAAAAAAAAAAAAAAAAAAAAAAAAAAAAAAAAAAAAGTTCCTTAAAAGTAGACTCCAAAGAAGGTTATGATTGAAGTAAACTAAATGTTAATTTATTTTTTTAAAACAAAGGAGCTTATACAATGAGAATTCATTCTCTGACACTGCAAAAAGAGAACAGGTTGCTCAACACCTAGTGTCCTTAAATTATACAAATTTTGACAGATATGAAGAAACTTATAATAGTTTCCCACTCGACTTCCAGAAGATATGAGATAAACTGACATTAAAAATGGAAAGTTGGAATAAAAAATGAAGTGTGATTTTAGAGCATCCAAATTAGCATCTAATTGCTGAAATTGGTACATAAATACTGAAGAAGCTGACCATATGCAACACAGTTCAATTATCAAAAACTGGCTGGCTGTGACTTATTCCTCTTTGGTTAATCTCGTGAAACATATGGTGAAAATCTTATTTTTATATAGGAAATATGTGCGTCTTCCAATTTTTGCCATAATCCATTTTGTAATTTTCTAAAATATTTAACTTCTATCAGATTACCTCATATTTAATCAATAAAATTTGTTCTGGGAAAAAAAGTTCTCTGGCAAGAGAATCATCAATGGTAAAGCACATTAAAAATGTTCAGTGAATAAACTGCACGGGGGAGGCAGTTCTATATCTGACATTCTACTGGTTTGACTGACGAAATTCAAATTGCATTTTCTATGTCTCCAAAGCACGACTAAGGATATATATTAGATTTTTATACAGCTTTATTCTAATATAGGTATTTTGACACAAAATCTGACTTTTTCTGTAATAGCATACCAATATTTTTCCATATTTCGATTACACGACTCAAATTATGCCTAGATATAAATTTTGTAATTTTTGGTGAGAAATTTATGGAGAAATTAAAAAATTTATCTTGGCAAATTTTTTTCAGTTTGCGCCATGAATAATTCACTTGGTGAACTTCTTAATTTATAGCAACCTATTTTCCTTTCCTTGTTCTTCATTGTCCAAAAGTGGGGAAAAAAGTCATTATTCATGCTTTCAAATAATTTGAACAAAGTGCAGAGGCGTAGCTAGGGTTTTCAGCACCTGGGGACAAATGAAGATCTTGTGCCCCTTTCTGTGTGCCAAGAATGAAAAATATTGCATCCTAAAATTTCGTAACATCAATTTGGCACCCCTGGATGCTGCGCCGGAGACAGATGCCCCACCGTAGCTATGCCACTGACAAAGCACATAAACCACATTTTCGTTATTATTGCTTATAATAAATGTGCCAAAATGTAAATTCACATATATCTTAGGAAACTGAATAAAAAGCTTTAATTTTTTACAATTATGCTTAGAAACGCATCTACTTTAAGATGATGGCAAAATTTTATAGGTTATAATTCAAAATTTTTTTCAAAAATTTTATAAAAATTATTTAAAAAAAATACAAATTTTAATAATAAATCATAAAAAATAGGTGAATTTTATTTGGAATGAACTTAAATTTTGAAATATGAAAGGATGAATCAAATAAGTGTAATAAAAAAGAGAAATATTGATAAATATATATCAAATTAAATTAACATTGAGGAGCTAAATTTTTGACAGCTAATTTATTAAAAACTACCCATGTGATTTTTATAAAGCTGGCAGTTTGGCACTATTTGAGTCGTAGAATCGAAATATGGAAAAAATTGGCATGTCATTTCAGAAAAAATCCGATTTTGTGTCAAAATATCTATATTAGAACAATGCTATATATAAATCTAATACATATCCTAAGTCACACATTCGGGATATGAAAAACGCAAGCTGAATTTCGTCAATCAGCCCGGAAGAATGGGAGATATAGAACTGTTCGCCCTCTTTTTTTTGTGCAGTGTACATTACAATGGTATTCAATCAAATTTATTACCACTTTTCGTAGTTTTCTCCATGTGTAACATGGGTATGAGCCAGTTTTCCTTATGTAGTCCTTCACGGAGCATCCCTTCTTTTCCATATAATGCCTAATGGCACAGTACATAGAGTCAAAAGTCGTTAATCCGGACTTGTTGGGACTCCGGCGAATCCGGATTATCGATTTTTCCGGATTATAGATCATCAGTTTAAGTCTGGTAAGATAGCATGCAGAAATTATAAAATTAAAAATATGAAATAAAGAACAATTATGATCTAAAGGGTATCAAAATTTAAAAAAAAAAAAAAAAAAAAAAAAAAAAAAAAAAAAAAAAAAAAGCTTAATATTTATTTCTTTACTTTATTAAACATTTCTTTCAAAGTAAGTTGTTTAACACTAGAAGCATCATTAGGGTCATTTTGACCTTTTTTTCTAGTGTTAAGTTGCTTCGTTTTAGGTGATGATACTTTCTCTTTAATTCTATAAGCAGACATAATCCTATAATTGCTGTGTCGAGAATACTGACTAATTTGTCAATCGAAATTTTTTCGTTTTCAATAACCTCCGTGTCACTTTCTTCACTATCTGAAGCGAATTGTAATGACGAGGAATTTGATTTAAATCATATCAAAGACGGAGTACATCAAGATGAAATACTACATTTAGTAAGGAATTATAAGCCAAATAAAATAAAAACATCTGCCCTGAAGATAAGGATAGTGCTGACAGATCAACTTCCAATTCATTGTGCGCCGCGGCGTCCCCCCCTCCCTGCCGCAGTGCAGCGTAAAATTGATAAACAGATTTCGGAATGGTTAGGGAAACGAAGGATATGCCTTTATCCATTTTTTGCAGCAATTCCACTTTTTGTTTAATGGACTTTGAAACATACTTTCGCTTTGTAGATCCTTTACATATTAGTAAATATATATCGGAAATTCTATTTGAGATAATCGAAAGTTCAAGCTTACTTTCATAAAATTGCTCTAACAGTCTGCAAAAAATAATAAGCCGGATCCAATTCGAAGATTAAGAAACAACGCAATCTGCAACATTAACTGAATTAGATAATTTTAGCTTAGCTTATACCATCCATTATACATTAAACGTGCATGCGTAAATGTATTATGCGCATGCGCACATGCATATTCGCAGCCGTAAAGGTCTTACGTGCATGCGTCACCGTGACGCATGCGCAGAAAGTCTGTAGCTTTGAGGTCCGGATTATAGATCATTCCGGATTATGGGTGTCCGAATTAACGACTTTTGACTGTACTAAAATAATACTAACAATAAAGTTTGATTTACTCACAATCTTATATTTATCTATGGACAAAATAAACAGTACTTACAACGCTTCATTCTAGAAGATGATATAGAAAGCAATGTATCTATAAGATCTCTTAGATGTCTCAACTTGTTTTGATAATAATTGGTACTTCGAGCTACCTGATCTGAATATAAGTCTTGTTTAGTCTGAGCAAGAGAATCCATCTGAAGTAGAATATGCCTGAGATAATCTCCAGAAGCACTGTCAGTAGATTCAATACAACGCAGAATGGCTTGTTGGACTACAGGTTCTAATTGTTGAATTAAAAATTCAATCTTTCTATTCATATCAGCCTGTTAAAGAAATACAGCAATAAGCACTACTACATTATTTAATATACATGTATAATTCATAACAGTTATTCAAAATAGATAAAACTAATATATTTATATATAATTCATGATATTTCAAATAAAGAAATTAAGAATATTGGGGGCGAGAAGAGTGAGAGAAGGCTAAATTTTAAAAATAATTTTGATAAACTATAATTTTTTTATTTCTAACTTGTAAACAAGAAACCATGAGAGAATTATGAAGACCACTTTTCCATTAAAAACCTCTTACTGGATATAATTTCCACAAAAAAAATTATATTAAGGAATATTGATTTTTGGCTTAAGTGCTGCCAGTTATTAAATCTAGGGTTCAAGTTTTTATCCTCACATAATAAACATTTCTTATCTGCCATTTAAAATCATTTCCCAAATAAATGTTTCTATAGATGAAGAAACAAGTGAAAATTGCTATTCACTAAGTCTGAATTGATCAGATAGCTGATCTAGTTTGAACTATCCAATTTGAGTGCTTCCAGAGCCGAAGTTTTGACGTAATGATGGTTTGTGTATAGGAACTGTGAAATAGGCAGAATATACCATCACTTCTTTTTGTTTTTGTTTGGAATGGTTCATTGAAATCAGTGCAAGGGTTACATTATGCAACACACCAGAAGGTACAAAATTATAAAACTCTGTGCTTTCATAGAAGAGTGAGGCTTCTAATTTTATCTTGTCCAGACACATGGTCCCACTGAAATGATTACTTGGATTCAGATGTGAGGTTTGCACTTTCAGGATATTAAAGATATGCTCTTTCCTTTCTTCCCCTTAATGCTGAAACAATTTTTTTATAAAATGTTTTGTACATTATTTTCATTTAACAAGCAAATTAAAATTTCACTGCTTACATTACTGCAAGGGAAAAAAATCTTTTAAATGAAGTTTTATTCCACATTTGTAATATCATTTACTAAATGTTTATAAAATTGCTTATTTTACTTGACTCTTCCAAAATTTTAACATTTTAACATCTACAAGTTTTTTAAATATAATTCTAAAATTTTTACAAATTATAAAATTAGTATTATTATTATTGCCTTCTTTTAAAAGAAAAATACTTAAAAACATTAATGAACTGATTTTTGACATTCCCGTCTCACTAATGCCAGTATGGGACTTCAGTTGCAGTCTTCCAACCACTCTTGCCATGAAACTGCGGACATGCAAGTCAAAGTCACATGGAAATAAAAAAATAATTGGGAATGTAAAATGATTGGCTCCATGTTCTATTGGTGTAATCTTTTTGGTGTGACAGAAATGAAATGCTTCAAAGTTATTTTGCTGCCAATTTCTTTCATTTGGTTTAACATGTAAAATAAATATTAACGGTTGCTTTTTAAATAAAGTTTACTCTGAATTTCTAATACAGTCAAAAGTCGTTAATTCGGACACCCGTAATCCGGAATGATCTATAATCCGGACCTCAAAGCTAAAATCTTTCTGCGCATGCGCCGCATTGACGCATGCGCATAGGCGTTTTACTCGTGCGCGCAAGACATTTACGACTGCGCATATGCATCTGCGCAAGTACAGAATACGTTTTCGCGTGCGCGTTTAATGTATGATGGACGGTATAAGCTAAAATTATCTAATTATCTATTTCAGTTAATGTTGATAATTGCGTTGTTCCTTAATCTTCAAATTGGATCCGGCTTATTATTTTTTGCAGACTGTAAGAGCAATTTTTCTAAAAGTAAGCTTGAACTTTCGATTATGTCAAATAGAATTTCCGATGCTGGAGCTCCCAAAGGATCTTAGAAAAACGAAAGTATGTTTCGATGTCCATCAAACAAAAAAAAACGAAATTGCTACAAAAAAAAAATGGATAAAAGCATATCCTTTGTTTATCTAACCGTTCCGAAATCTGTTTATCAATTTCACGCTGCTCTGCGCGGGGGGGGGGCACGTCGCGGCGCGCAATGAACTGGAAGTTGATCTGTCAACACTATCGTTATCTTCAGGGCAGATGTTTTATTTTAGTCGGCTTATAATTCCTTACTAAATGTAGTATTTAATTTCGATGTACTCCGTCTTTGATATGATTTAAATCAAATTCCTCGTCATTATAAATATCACGAATACAAATCACATAGTTTTCTGGTTGCAATTTTCTAATTTCGGCTATGAGTAAGGTATGCTTTACGCATCCGCGCGTTAAAAGAAATGTTTAATAAAGTAAACAAATAAATATTAGGCTTCTTTTTTGGTAAATTTGGATACCCTTTAGATCATAATTGCTCATTATTTTATAAATTACGGTTTCTTATTTTTAGTTTTATAATTTCTGCATGCCATCTTACCAGATTTAAACTGATGATCTATAATCCGGAAAAATCGATAATCCGGAATCGCCGAAGCCGACGAGTCCGGATTAAAGACTTTTGACTGTATAATTCAACAACTTCTCAAAAATGTTCAATTTTTTTATCATCACATATTTGTTATTTTTAAGATTTCAATAGCCAAAAATTCCATTATAAAACAAACTCCTTACCCTTTTTAAATAAGAATAATTAAATAACAACAATAAGCAAATTCCTCCCTCCCCTCCTATGCAAGTACGTAGCAACTCAAAAGTAACAATTCAATTATTTGAAAAGTATACATGTTGGCATGACGTTTTCAGAGAAATGCACATGGAAAGATGGTATCCGCCCTTTTTTTAAGCTGAATATTTTATTGAGAGAATAGCTACACTTTTATTTGAAGTCACAGGTGTACACAGTGCAGCCAACACTATTTGTCATATTGAAAGAAATTACTTGCTATGCTGTGAAGGAGTACAGCCAAATTCTCTCAGATGCTGTGCAGAATATCATGCCATGTCTGATGATGATCACATTTGATTTCAATAAACTCATGATCACACCTATGTAAGATTGGTTAGACAAACTGCATATAAAAGAAAGTTTTAAACTCCTTTTGCACTAATTTGTCAGAAACAGTTGAAGACATGGAAACAGTTGAAGAAAAATTCCCATATTCTGTTACTCTTTCCGCTAATATTGATCGATTTGCTTAGATTCGTAATGATCGTAATTAATTCCAGATTAAACTCAAAATCCAATCCAAGTAGATTGCAACTTAAGCCTTAAAATTACACATTAGCTATAGAGGGACATGAAAAGACTATTCATTATCTTGTTAGAATTTAAAATCCTGACGAAATCATACTTCATTGAGTTATCCATGCCACCGGCTGTCACAAAGAACTTTACATACATCTGCAGAAGTAAGTGGTGGACTCTGCCTCCTCGGTAATTTTTCAGTTTAGTTTTCTTCAGTATTTCCCGTCGGTATTTTATAAACATTTAGAGATGAATCACAAATCCTCGATTCTAAAACGGCATCAAATTCTGCTACCAAATTTAATTACTTACTCAATTACATCAAACTTCCTTCCTTCGTTTTATAGATTCTGTTTATGTTTAGGTGAAATCCATCAGATTATTCTGTTTTCAACTGAGCTGGCTTATTTTAAATATCAATATAAAGTGAAAAATGCTGTGTGCTGTGTGTTGTGTCGGGTGGGGAGCCCATTTTCGCGCTCTAGCAGAAAAGATGTCTGCGGTCTTTAAATATAGTACTAACACAAAACAATAGTTTATTTAAAATGACTTTTCGGCCCTTGGTGTCGCATTAAATTTAGTGCCTAAACAGCTCTCCGTATAGGCCCCTGAAAGCAAAAATGGCATTAAATATTAAATGCACATATGTCATACGCATATCTATCATTCACACTACCAATCTGATTTAATCCTAGTATACAGTACACATGGGAATTTCGCGATTTTTGGCGACATAATGGCGAGCAGTTAATGCGGTATTTATGATGAGCAGTAAACGAGCCATTTTGGTGGCGACAATTTTCAAAATCGCGCCATGGCCGTACGTAGGGAATTTATTTAATTTCTGAATTCTATTTTAATAGCCACTTTTACTTTTATTCAATCAGAGGTCTTATGCGGTTAGATTTCGAAGTCCAAACAGCTATAAGCAAAGCTTATCTAATACGAGACATAATGGAAACTGTGGAGCTTATGAGTAAACTGAACTCATATACAAAACCGTGTCTATCTAATTTTTCATCTGAGGCAAGAGGGTAAATGTGCACCTCTATATAATAATGTTCAAGGTAACTAAACTTGTATACTTCTGTATTAAATAAAGTAGCTGTTTTAAAATCACAATACAGTAACTTTTATAGTAATTTTTAATAATTTTTTATATCCAGAAAATGATTCACAAAAACTTTATAGTTTTAAAATAAATAAAAAGTTAATATTTTTTTCATTAATCAGATAAAATAAAAAATTATGAAAATAATAAACAGCAATGCAATGAATAACAAAATACTAGGGGGGAGTATAAGTTGTACACACACAGGAAAAGAAAATATATAAAAACATTTCTTAGATATTCAATATCTAGCAATGGTTTTTATGTTTTAACGATAACTATAAATATAATGAACTGCACAGTTCGGAGACACAATAAATGCGGATACAGTGGATAAAGATACAAATGATGAATCTCGGTCTACAGCAAACGTTTATGAGAAATGGCTAATAAATTGATATACGATAGATTTTGTTTTGGGACCTCTCTGAAATTCGCATAAGGGAAGACATTAACGTAAAATCAATGAAGACATACTTAAATAAATGCTTTGACTCTACAGTAAGGTAAACGTATGCTGAAAGGCAACAGACTGCCTGAATAAATGACTAGTAAAGGACGGTTAACGAAAATCAGATAGTCCGCTTTATAGCTCTGCGAATGAAATGCAGTATCAAGAACGCAGCACACTTTTTATTGTTTTAAGCATGCTGTTCTAGAATTGCTTTTCTTAATGCTTTGAAAGCTGAAAGTCAAAAATCACAATTTCTTTTTTAAAACGCATTTTTATGAATTTGATAAGCCGTTCACCTTAAGCAAGTGTCTCATTTGCCCCACCC